GAAACGAGGTAGCGTTAGAAAATAAGGCTTAACTCACTCATGCGAGTAGACACTAGAGATGCTAATGGTTCCACCTTCGATAACCATGTCATTACTTTGCCCTAGCCCATTACTTGTTGCAGGGCATTCATTAAAAGCTTGTTCACCGTGTACCAATGTAGGGATTGGTTGTACAGGTGGTAATCCCTTGTCATCTAACTCAGGTTGACTGTCTATCGGTTTGCAAATTATAGCTCTTCCTTTGTCAGATTCAACCGGGTTTTGAATTTCTGTAACTATTGCAGGTGCTGAGGCCACTATGTTTTCTTCAAACTTTCCAGGAAATGGTATCACTGGACCAGATCCATTATTTATAGCTACTGGGTGGTTCGCCAAACTCTGAACTCGCCAGTGATTATTCCTCTGTTTCCAATCAGGAAAACATGAAATTCAGCTAAAAGATACACACAATTGGCAACAGAAAGACTAGCAGGTGCAAAAGCATGCTCAGAATAGTGAAATGAAAGGGAAGTTCTGTTGCCATCACCGGACACATGACAGGGTACTACAACGTTTACAATCATAGAAAATTTGCCAAGATACCGAAATATGCACAAAAAAGGTATAATGTATCAGAAACTAATTTTTTTTTTACCCATGGTGTCAACTTTGTTGGCTCCTGACTCCATCCTGGATATGATCCTTCATACTTTTGCACCTTCTCTTGTAAATACTGGACATAATCTATCACCTAAGAATAGAATTAGCAGTATTAAGCTTACAAGATCTAAAAGCCAGGATATTCGCATAAAACATCGTCAAAGCATTCATGAAATACCTCTAAAAGGAAAGAAGCTGTATCTCTTTTTTGTTCACTGTTGGGAATTAGTTCTCTCAATATCTGAAATCTGACAAGAGAATTACAGATTCAGCACTCATAAGAGAAACAAAGATGATTACGTAACTAAATTCCCATTTATAGATATTTGAATGGTATACTGATTCTTATCAACACAACAAAAATTAAGGCAGAGCAAAACTCCCAAACACAGTTTTCTAAGAAAGTTTAGCAGTTCAATTCGACATACCTTTCATTGATTTTGCTTCTTCTCCGTTGCTCTGTGACCGAATGTTTAGAACGTATCGCACTAGCCTTATCATTTTCCTTTGCATCTGCTTCAAAATCAAACACACCTAATC